GAATTTCGTAAATCGCACGGCCAACTTCTCTCGCCAAAAGCAACCGTGGCGTCGCTCACACACGACGTTCACGAAAATCGACTGATATGATCGCGCCAAATTTTCGACCCTTATCACGACACTCCCGGCATTAATCTCGCGACGCGGCGCGTACTTATTGTTAGTTATACGGCGATGGAAAAATTACGATGGAAAAATTACGACGGAAAAATTACGACGAAGAAGCTGTACGATCCGCTCGACGCCACGCCCGTGCCGCGATCCGCGATGTCCCGCAGGTAGACGAACAATGGCGGAGAGAGTTTAATAAATCGCACGGCCAACTTCACTCGCCAAAAGCAACCGTGGCGTCCGCGTCGCGTCACTGGCCTAGTTTACACCAATCACTTGATACGCGTATAATAGTAAATAACTAGTAAATTAGTTTGCTTATTGGCTGATCAGCTCAAATATAGCATAAGACTCCATAGACGCGGAAACGCCGTGCGGTAGAGTGCGTTGACCAATCAGAAGGCTGCCGCAAGTCGCCTGCGGCAAAATCAAAATTTGTGATTGGTCAACGCACTCTGCCGCACGGCGTTTCCGCGTCTATGGAGTCTTAGCAATACTATTTGATACGCGTATCAAAAGATTGGTGTAAACTAGGCCAATCACTCACGACATTCATGAAAATCGACCAATATCGTCGCTTATGATCGCGCGATCTCCGCAATATTTTCAACACTTCGCACGACACTGACACTCCCGGCATTAATCTCGCGACGCGGCGCGTACTTAGTTACACGACAACGGAAAAATAATGACTGATTACGACGAAAAAGCTGAATAACGTAGCGCGGGTCGCGGGCGACGCGCCGCAGCTATATACCGGCTACTCGTCAACACGATTGGTACTATTGGTAGGGACGAAGTGGGGGTTACAAGTGACTAGGCACGGTGCGCGCTCGGTATGCGTGACGTCAGCACTTCTCGATACCGCTCCTCTACCCCCACTACTCGTGTTTACCGCGGCGCGCACGACCGCGCTTTAACCCTTTAACGTCGCCGGCCGCCGCTCTCACATCAGTCATAAAGCTTATTCGCGTTGCTTGAAATCCCCAAACATTTTTGCACTTGAAATGAGATAAATATATATTTGGCCGTTGGAGAGAGAGAAAGCGACGATGCTGAGTGCAAAAAGTGCAAGCAACGCGAACAGACCCATAATCAGACCGCATCGCGGAATAAAGGGCCCGAACACACATATTTTCGTAACAGTAACAGTAAAGTTTCGACCAATCGCGTTGCTTGAATCGGAAACGTACGGCCGTTACGAACAAGTGTGTGTCCGCCGCCCGCCGGGTTCCGGCGCGGCGGTTTAGATTACGAAAAACTGATATATCGAATTTAATACGTACATACATGTGCTTCGCGAAACTTATATGGATACCGAGGTACGTCGCATTCGAGAATATATTCAATAGTATAATATTGATTACATTCTTTCGGACGATCAATCTCGCTTTTACCGACAATGACTCCGCGTCTCACGTTGTGTCGCGCGACTTCGAAATTCGGAACAAAGTTGATTGGACATCGTTTTCGGAACACGGATAAAGAATTTCATTAACGATACGAATGGACGCTAAATCGAGTGACGCCGCGACGTGTTTAATTAACTATCGCAGTGTCTATTATAACGTCGTACATTTATATATATACCTTCGTATTTGATCGTGCCTCGATATCTGGCGATCGCGGGTGACAGACACTGTTCGTAAATCGATGATTTAATTGTAGTTGACAAAAAACGCCTCACAAGCAGTAAGTGAAGCGTCCTCGCGACGACGCGTGAACGAGTGAGTGAGTACGCCGACGGAGATATATGACAAGGAACCAACGCTGCAACGGAGTAGGACCGGAGGATCGAGGAGAGGAAAATGAGGCCTGGAAGGCATCGGGCGACGGCGGAGCGACTGTGGGGTGAGTAGTTGTTAATCATTTATTATATTTTGCCGTCCTGTCAGTTCTGTGGTGGACTTTGCCACTTTCGCCGTTTAACTATACAGTGTAATTTCGGGCCGAGTCCGATCTCCGGCGTATGCGAGATAAGTGAGAAGAGATATATTACACGTGTCGCGAATGTCGCGTCTCTCTCTTATTCGCACGGTCGCAATATTATTTGTAAAATTTTTCGCGGATTAATTATGGTATGCGAGATAAGTGAGAAGAGATATATTACACGTGTCGCGAATGTCGCGTCTCTCTCTTATTCGCACGGTCGCAATATTATTTGTAAAATTTTTCGCGGATTAATTATGCGAACTAATTAACGCGGAAATATCCATCAGTCGCTTGCGGCGCCGCCGGCCGCGACTGTTTCTTACATTTTTAAATCAGATATTTGTTAAAATGACGTTTTAGAAACGGGCAATAATTATTTACTTCGATAATTATTTACTATCGATTATCTTGGACGTAGCTTTAATATAAAAATATTTCTTTTGTTACAGAGATCAACGCAGAATTACAACTCCGCTGTTGCGCATCGGCCGGTGAGTTATTTTTTATTCCAATGTATTTTATTTCGAGAGGCAATGTACAAAAATTATATCGCAAAAGTAAATAAAATGTATGTACAAGAAATGAGATATTAAAATAGTTACAAACAGTTTTTTTCTAACTTATGTAATTTATTAGACATATTATATAAAAATTTTTATTTACAGTGATAATATAGAGGTAAAGTGTTCTGTATTATTACTTAATCTAATGAAATATCTGAATACATTCGTTACCTATTTGTTCCTACAGTTTCTACAATTATTACAGACAAAATTAAAACCCTAAAGATTAAGAATATACATATGAATATATTACAAATGTTATAATAGGTATATTATAATCTATAATTTTAAAAGAAAGATCGCTTGAATGATATCCTTAAAATGCATTCGTACCTCTGCTGTTTTCTACGATACGTCTTCTCTCTTTTAAAAGCTCCAAAAATTTCGCCCTTGGACTACCGGGATATTTCAATTCCACGGTGAAAGAATCTCCAAGTTTGGGATTCATTAAATCAGTTCTTAAACTATCTCTTGACCTCCGCGTGATTTCTTTTTTTACATAAGGCGTTTGTCCTATCGCGATCAATTTTGCAGGGTCTGCCAGATAATCATGATGCTTTATCTCGAAAATCGTCGGTTCGTTTGACGCTTCAATGTCTGACAGATTATCGTAGTCTTTCGGCGATTCGTTGCAAAATTCTTCAGAATCAATCTTTAAACCGATCGATGTCCTCGAGTTAGTAGACGATATATCGTCCGCTTGATCCGAGAGTTTCGTTTTCTTAAATGTCCAGGCGCTACTCTCAATTCCACGAATGTGGCCGAGATAATCCTCGGCGGTAGAAACTTCGTCGAAATTAAGAATGCCATGAGTGTCTTGTTGAAAAGTCCCTCGTAACTTGGAGTAAGTTGTCGGGCTTTGCGATCTAAGGTCGGATATTTTCCGGAGGCGTTCCTGTCGGGATTGTTTCAGACTCCAGCATTTACTAAAATCGGCTGCGCCCATTAGTTGATCGAAGATTTTACGCTCGAGATCATCCTCAGTTGTAATATTGTTGTTCTTGTCGTCAAGATCGTGTTCGTCTGTCTCAGTAAGAGCTCGATACTTTTCTGGCTCATTTGACGTAGACCGTTTTGTGACGTCAATTCGAGTGGAAGACAAAAGCGGCAAGGAAATCCTGAAAAGATTGGACTCATCGCAATTCTCAGCATCATTTTCGGAAACAGTATTCCCGCATTGATGGATCGCGTTGTCAATGATGCTGAACACACCGGAGTCTACACTGGGACTCGCTAAACTCGATTTAGCGCCAGCAGACTCGACATCGATACCATATTTGTCCCGAAGGACCTGATTATGCTTGCTGACTTTATCGATGCATGCCTCCAATCTCTCGATACCTTTCAAACATTTCACGTAGGATTCGACAGCAACAACTTCATCATTATCCGGTTGCAAGTATTTGTCGGTGTCATCCTTCAGGCTAACTCTGCGCCCTCGGAACTCTGTGTAATCTTTGTCCGTGCTCGGATTGTTTTCACGACGACCTCGTCTTCTGCGACGCTTTCCATAGTTCTCCAACATGTTTGTGGCACTCATGTACTCGTTGATAGAGTTCATGTTGCGCATGAAGGTTATTGCCTCATTCAAATAATCTTCAAGAATATTTCTCTTCGATGCTGTACGAGAACGGGTGTCTTCATTGATGACGACATTGTCTTCGATAATTTCGTTGCGAGAATTCTCGCGATAATCTTCATTGGAGAACTCCACCTTCTCGTCATTAAGCGATTTTTCGGAATCCTCGGAATCATGATTCTCTTTCAAAGTAGATAGAACTTCCTCGCTCTTTGATGAGTGTATCTTTTTCTGTTGCAAGGACTGACCATTTTCGACATTCGACATTTGAACGATATCCAAATTTTCAGTCACAACCGGCTTCTTCTTCTTTATCTTCTTAATAATAGACTTCAAAGCTACCTCTGAGTTTTGCTTTGATGTTAGAATTTTACGATTAGTCACAACGTCAGATATCTCCTCGAAGTTACTAGGATTTGAAAAAGACACCTTTTTCTTGCTGATATTATCAAACTGCCTGATACACGTTTTTGCTTTTTCTTCGGAGTCACTATCTACGATATTCGATGATGTTCCTAGGATTAATGCCTTGAAATCCTGTATTAGATTCTTCTCTGACACTTCAGTAGGTTTTCTCTTCGGAAATTCGATCTGAGTATCATCAAAATCGTCATCTATCGAGGACTCGACGTTAACCGAATCTACATGACTCATCGACTTCAAAGTTTCCTTTTTCGTGTGCGCAACGACATCCGGAGGACAAGGGCTCTCGTAATTCTTGTCATCACGCGAATCCACCGCTTTCGCTTCATCTGTTTCCTTCGTGATGTTGTCTTCATCGTAATCAAGACTGTCATCCGAAAAATTATAATCGTAGTTTAATAAGTTCTTTAGCGAAACAGATTTTGATTTCTTCAAGTTCTTGCATCTGTCTTTAGAGTCTTGAATACATGATTCCTGAGCCGTTTCTTCTGGAATTTTAGCGACAAAAGTATATTCGCTGTTCATTGTAGAAGAGAATAAGTCATCAATTAGTTCTAAATTAGTATCTTGTTGCGTAGAAGATGGCATAGCTGTCTCTCTGTTATAAAATTCGGAAAATTCTGGCGATTGTTCTGGATACGGAAGGGTCCAATTCTTCCATAGATCATGACGGGCAAATCTTTGTATTGTCCTTCTAGGATTCAAACTGTAGCTACGTTTCTTAATGATGAAAGCCTGCGTTAAACCGCCTTTCGGAATCGGCCGCGTTCTGTGACAAACATCATTAATGTATATTCCGTTCCATTCCGTCTCTGTGCTGTTCTCTTTCATCCCGATGACAGAAGAAGTACCTAAAGAACTTTTAAAAGTAATCGACTTCTTCATCGCAATTTCTTTCTTTAAATCGGAGGTCACGTCATGGTAGCTTTTGCCTTTCGGATCTTGAAAGATATTCTCGATCCTGAAAACTCTGCCGTCCGCCTGAGTGGCTGTCGATTTGACTGTAAAATCCTTTAAAAAAGATCCTTTGATTTCATTTTTAATCTCTTCATCCGTCTGAGCTGCCTTGTCGCTAGAAATAGGTTTCGATTTCTCTTCTACGGCATCATCATTGCCGTCTATCACCGCTATTCTTGATTCTAGACCATTCGTGCTCTCGATAGTTATATTGATCATTTCCGGTAAAGATATGGAGATAACGTTTTTCTCGGGACTATTCGCTCGTACATGTTGGTTGAGTTCGTGAAATAAACTACAGCATTTGCTATAGTTTCTGCTCTCCGAATTATTTTTTTGCTGACTCACTGCTTCTAAACGTGCCGTTTGCACCGCCGAATTCCTCCCCGGCGACGAGAGGAACGTATTGGTCGAACTATCCACGATATTCACGCACGGTACTTTTTTGTCACCTTCCGGATAAAACTCGGATACATCAGCGCTAGACAGATTGCTCTCAGTATAGTTCTGCACGTCGTCGGAAAGTATACCGGAATCATTTCGCGGCGAGTGAAGTTCATAGTCATCGAAGTCGAGGTCGGTGGTCAAGCTTTCGGCATCCTTGCAGCGGAAGATGCTGGTTGGTGGTCGTTGATCCGTCAACGTTGCCATGTCCTTTACCCTAAGAACAGGTAATCGACGATCTACCATTTCGATTACCGCGACGTCCGTATGATCGTCTGTGAGGACCGCTGCGTCTTGAAGTACCACCTTAGGTTCGTCCGTCAGACACGCTATATCCTTGAAGCGCAGCGTCGACGCCGTTTCCGTCTGCGTGTCCACGTTGATCCTTCGTCGTTTCATCAGCATTTTCCGCGAAATCTCCTGAAGTTTCGATCGCGCTAGGAGACTGCCTGGCATCTTCACGTCGGTACTTTCCGGCGGTGAACGCGTACCCGATGTATTGCTACTCGCCATGTTGGCCTCTTCTATGGGCTTTCTACTGGAGTAGAGTCTTTCTGTGACGGCCGCCACAATCTCGGCGCGTTTTACTTTCTGAATGGCTGTGTGATGCTTTAAACCACCCGCCGCTGCCGTCGCTGCTTCCCGATCTAAGGAGCTCTTTCTGCGCGCTAACCTGTCGCGCGTCAAATTCGAAATCAAGATCTGTTCGTCCTTGGAGCTGCTTGAGCTACTGTCCTTGCTAGTTTTCCTTTTCAAGCTTTCCAAACTCGGCTTTCTGCCAATATTATTATAGCTACCTGCTCTGTTGGTGTCTTTCAGACTCTTGTCAGACTCGTTGCTGCTCTTTCTCTGCAGATGATCCTTGCTGCCGATCGCTCTCCAAATATTCGTCGACTTAATATTTGCCTTGCGATCGTCAATCTCGCGAATATTATTGAGCTTCTTTCCACGATCGGGCAGCGTCGGACGTTTCTCCAAGTTCGTATGCGATCGTTGAACACCGAAAAATGGTTCTTTCTTCTTGTTAATCCCGTCGATAGAGCCGAACTTCTTTGAGACGTTCAAATTTGACGAAGGTAAATCGACGGAATTTTGCTTACTGAATTTACCTCTCGGTCTGCTTCTTCCAACGGATGCCGGACTTTGTGGAGGGCATTCTGACGTAATTTGATGAAGATCAACAATCTCCGAGTCTTTCAAGATGCAGGAATTTGCTGAGCTACTGCGATCATCAGGATCGTCGTCAATTTTTTCCGGTCCTTCGAAATCTTCATTGCTGCCTTCTATAAAATCGGCATCGATCGAATCTTCTTGCACTTCATCGGAACAAATCTCCTCGATCTGTGCCGACGATTCTTGCAAACTGTCGTCCGGCTTGATCAGCACAGCTACCAGCGTAGGTATATCCACGAAAACCGGTTCATTGATCTCGTCCACCACCTCGTCGTCCTCGTCGTTCAACTCGGTAACCTTGGCCTGTTTATAACTGCCAACAAAGCGATCCGGAAGTTGCAGATGCTCGAAAGATTTGAATTTTCTGATGGACCTTGAAGAACCCGTCTCATAAGCCGTCACACTGTCACTGGAATTGAATCTTCTTATCGGAAGTACATTGAGAAATCTGTTATCTTTCGATTGTATAGTCTTGTTCTTATGATCAGATTTTTTGGATCGTGAGGTGTTGAGCGATTCCTGTTCTGTGCGATACTGAGGGTCCGTCGCGGAATCCTTTGAACTTTGAACTTTGCCGCAGCAACACGGCGCCTTAGTCTGGTCGATATCCTGCAATAAGATTCGTATAACTGATTTTAATTTAAACCGAGAATGGATATGACATATTTGGATAGCAAATTTTCTTTAAGCTGTATAGTCTTAATTTTTTGCCATACAATGCATAAAGTACTTTAAGTTATGTGCTTTTTCCATAATTATTTTTAGATTATAGTTTTTCTCATATATCTTTTTAATTTTTTATTGTATATTAAAATTTGCAATAACCTCCACCGTTATTAAAATTGTAAATTATAAGTTATATAATTGAAAATTATAAATAAATAATTAAATCAATGTTTAAAATTAATATTTAAATTATATCAACTTGAATTGACAATTTTTAGCTTTCTGCTTTTAACGAAAGAGAGAAGCATTTGATTTTGTTTTAATATTTCCATTTCCAATATACATCATAATTATGATATTCTATCTTTCAAAAGAAATTATTATTCTGCATGAATAATATTTTATCTCGGATTTAAAATACGACGCGCAAGCTCGTGGATAGTCGACGAAGTTGCGATTGCGGACGAAGCATGAGGAATTTAATTAATCGGCGATTATGCAACGTGTGGAAATGAAGGATGGAAACTACCTGATGGAAATGGAAACGCTGTTCGCTCGTTAAGCGTAACCCATCGGCGTGCTATATTTTATCAGCAATCGTTCGGCCAATCGCTCGCAACGGGCGCTCAATAAGTGTCAAATAAACGATCAATGAATCTCATTTACGTAATGACATCGGACAATATCGCAACGCCGCTCGTATTGGTAAACCCCGATAATAAACTCGCACACCCTCTCGCGCGCGAGTTAAAAGTTAAAACGCGACTGAAAAATCGGCCGCTATTTATCGCGGATCCGCGCGTTCTACGTCAGGCAAAATTGCGAAATTTGTTTTATAATATCACGCTATTACCGATCGCGCGCCGCTCGAAACTCATTAATATTTTCTGCCGGCAGCATGCGAATCTCCGGCCGCGACTTATAAAGTCGCTCGATCAACATCAGGCCGGGGATTAAATCCTTTTGCGTTTTCAGCCTCGCTTCCGCCAAGCTCGATTTTTCATTTCAGCCACGTCAGAAGACAAACGAGTAAGTGGTGTTAATTTTTATTCAATTAAAATAACACTTCTGCGAAGAAAATTTGTAAAAAGTTGATTCATTTTTATGAAATAATCGTATGAAATAATCCCGAAATGTGTAACGTGCAACAACTGACATTTTATTGAAATTTTTAGATATCAATTGTATTTTACATTATGTCAATTTTTACGTAATTATCTTGATTGTTTAAAAAGCTAAAATCATTTTTCTATCTGTGATGTTTTCATATTTCTTGATTTTATATGTCTGTCTATTTCTCAATTTATAGCAATATATATCGTATTTAGTCCTCAAACTAATATTTCTTATAATTTGCGTAAATTTGAGTAAAATACTTGCAAATTTCTTGCCTTTTCCGATAATAAAGATTTCAATCTGGCGACCTCGGCCCTTAATTCACGAATGATTCTCTCCACGGGATCCTCGTTGACCACTGGTCGATTGACCACGCTCTGCGCTCTTTGCGCGAATCGTAGGGTGTGCGCGGTCTCGTTGTAACTTCCGCTAGCCGGAGAGATCGCTGAAAGAAACACCAAAACTCGTATTAACGTTTAAGAATGTATGATAAAACTGTCGTACGTTTCAACTACAACTATTTAATCGTTACAGTGCGATTTTCTGATTAATACTAGCGGCTGCGGCCAATTGCATTCTAAGTATATTAGCGATTAGATATCGATAATAAAAGATTTTTTTAGGAATAATATCTACTAGAAGGATCTATATCGCGAAATATCGCAAAATATCACTTGCCTATTCAGAAACTATGGGACCGTGCGAAATAATTTCAGCTTACTAAAAAGAACGTCACGTGCATTTTCAATATAGAAATACTTTATTTCTTGCTCTTTGAAAACATGAAATCTATATAAGATTCGCCGATTCATAAATCCGTAGATATACAGATAATCAGATACTTTCAACGGCGGGCGTCTGTCGAATTAATCGAGAGGAAATGTACGGAACGAAACTCCGCGTGGACAAGTCAACCGGAAATAATTCATGGCTCACCGAGAGAGCTCGATAATCCGAAATGAATTTTCAAGCGGACGGTATCTTTTCCGGACGTCGCGTCGTACTGCGGAATCGACGTATAAAATCCGCCACCGCGGCGACAGTATGCGGTCCGCGGGATAATGTAATGTCTATTCATCTACGCACTACGCTCAATCACAAATGCGGGTCCGTTGAATATTAAACGTCTCCCCGATAATAAACCGAAATGCTATTAGCAATTCAATTAATTGCTGATGATCAGCGGCTCGAAATATTCCGCTACGATTAATTATATACGTCGCCAAGCCGGTTAGAACTGTTATATAGAAGTATTCGCAAAACTCGTCATACCGCGCCGTTGTTCCCCGGTCAATTGTACGAATCGTGCGATCGACTCTTCCATTTCGGCAATTAATTGTGACGAATCGAAAGAGGAAAGACTGGTGCGCCTTCCCTTGATTAACGTCTCTCTACGCCGCCTGCTCAATTACGTCAGTTTCGTTTATCACGGAACGATAGAAGAGATAAAAATATCATGATAATCAATGAATCGAAGTAAACAGTTAAATAGAAGACAGAAGAGTTTGTCTTCCTCTCCATAGACTAATCTCAACAATTTCGAATGTAATGTATATTTTAAAAATTACCATGTTTTTAGTACACACAATCATCAAATTAAACTACAAATTTAATCAAAGGAGATTAAGCAGGAACGCGAAAAGGTTAATACATTCAACATTAATAATTCATATTTATCTTCAAAATAGACATCCGTGAATTATGTATTTTATCGTTATTTTTTTATTGTTATATTTTAAATGCTAATCTGATTTGATTTTAATCCGAGGAAAAGATATCAATTTTTGCTTGAAAAGATAAAGATTTATCTATTGGTAAACTGTGTAACGCAATCCTCTCTACGTGCTTTATCTATCTAACTACGATAGGTTTCTACGGGAAGATAGCGTTTCCCTGCTTTAAAATTTCAATATTAATCGTCTTTTACGATGACGATAGTTTTCTTAACACTCTGTCCAATTCGCGTAACATTTATTCCCTTAAGAGAAACTATTGTGAGGATTAATGCATTCAAAGAGAGTCGAATATAACCAGGCCTTCTAAGGTGACACTACGACGAAAGATAAATTCATTATGAACAAGTTTAGTTTACTAAAAAAGTCGAATTAATTTTGTTCCTAAATATTTTTAACATGCTTTCTACAAAACTAAAGTTTTAACAATATTATTAAAAATGTATTAACTAAAATTTACATAAAAATTCGAGTATGTTTAAATATTTTACAATTTAGGTGATTATTTAATTAATAAATGATTTAAAAAATATTCTTTACACGTAATCATTACTAACGTTAATTTATTTATTGTTCATATTAATTTAACTTGTTTATATTGGCTTTTAATAATCTTTTATTAAATCTATAGGCACTAGAGAGTGTATATTATAGCTGTGAAGCATATATTTTTGCGTTACGTTATTAAAAATATTGAATTATGTTCGATAACGACTACCATATACTGCGGGAAGAATATTGGCGATGGATCGATCACGTAGCTACTGTCGCAAGCTCACTACAGATTTCTTATTTACCGCTTTTCGCGTCTCTCTATCTCGGCTCTATTGAAATTTAATCTCCGCGTCTTAGCTCGCCTGGAAAAGCATTTAAACCAATTACATCCAGCCCGGGTTATCGCAAATGGGAATAATTTCCACGACTCTCGCGATTATATTTATCTTCCGATAACTAATGGAATTTATGAGAAGACGAGGAATTGCTGTTGTAAAAAGAGAAAAGAGAAATGGTTGGTTTTTCGTTGTAATCCAACATTCACGAAACGTTTTCGGAGGAAGACATTTGAATGATTTGAACAATTTTTAACGAGAAACACATGAAAGACAAAAGAGCGTGAAATAAATTAATTGATTGTAGCCGATCTTAATTAACTCTTTTAGCGCGAAAGGCTCGCACTAAAAGGGTCAATTAAATAATGTCGAATTGGTCGTTGGATTTCAATCTGCGCGCGAGAACGGTGCGTCATTCTAGCAACAGAAAGGATATTAAAATGGAGGGTTTGAGATCAAAAGAGGGGAAAAGCGAGCTTATAATTTCCTCACGAAAATACACACCGGGAACGCGATTTGCGCGGGCGAAATATTCCCAAAAGGAAACCTCTTAACGTCGATGGAACATTCTAAGATCGCGAAGGCTGAAAAAGGGGGAGAATACGAGTTCAGAGAGGACGGTAGGGGAAAGATCAAAAGGAAAATACCGGCAGATACTTACTGGCGAGCATAATGGTGGTGGCATTTCCGCCGAGTGCATCCTTCAACAGCCAAGTGAGCGAAGAGTCTCTGTAAGGGATGTATCTTCTTCCTGGCCTACTTCCGGTTGAGCCTCTCTCGGCGAGTGCGGATATCACGTTCCCTAAAGCCACTAGGCTCTTGTTGATATTCGCACCTTCCTACAAAACGATACAAAAAAAATAACGCGATAGTGATATCAAAATTATTAGGCTAATTGGATATTTTTATTGGTACATATTTTTATTCTTTATTCTTAATCTTAAGAAAAAAAATTTAGAATATCGATAATTATCTTCTTACAAATAAATAAAATTAGTGCAACTGGTTACGATAACATTGCACGTGTTTTTGAATTGATAATACATATATCTCTCAGCAATAGCGTATGAATGTAATTATAAAACTTGTTAGTTTAACGTATGAGTTTTTAATCACAAAAACATACTTTGACTTTCATACGTGAAATACTATTAGCGATGATTCCTGAATTTTTGCAACGTTGTGATGATTCTTTCCGTATCATAGAAGGCATGATCACATCAACGTCAATGCTTAATCACAGTAATGACAAAATGGCACGTGGATTGGTTTATAGAGCATTAACACACATCCGCTTTATTTACATAATATTTTTCACTCAACATATTAAATCCATATCGAAAATAAATCCATTTTCACATGATACGCATGTACCGCACAGAACTATGCTTGATGAAAATGGAGACAGGTGCTACTTAGATATCACTAACGGACATTAGACCTTTTAAACACTTATGCTCCAATAGTTACGGATAAATCAAGATATCCGTCAATATAGAAAGAGAAATGTTTCGATAACAAAACAGTTTTAGATTTGTTCCAACGCTTTCTCGCGCTCGTTTTTCACGCTTGTTACTTTCACGAGTAATTCCGACGGTCGATTAGGCGAGTCTATTAGCGCGCGACGCGGTGGCCAGGACGAGATTGATAACGGGGCTCTATCCATCCGCGAAGCGGGCTCGCGCGAATATCGATTTTCATCGCGCGAAATTCAGCCGGCGAATATTCCAGCGGACGATATTATTTTTAGGAAATGACTCACCTTCAGTCGATGAACGCCGCTGCAGGTGGCCGCGCTCTCGCTGCCCGCCAGATCGACTAGGTGCAACCTGCTACCGCCGCGCGGAGTGGCGTCTTGCCTCCTGGAGGACGAAGAAGTACCACTGCCGTTAGGACGCTCGGCGTCGGTCGTCTCCTGCGAGAGATCGACGGTCAGTAGAGCGTGGCTACGACTGCTGCTGGGGTTCTGAAGTGTCGAGGCTGTCTTCCTCGCCTTCGTGCCTTCCTCCACGTATGATATCAACGACCCCAGGGTGCGAACTACATGGTGCGTCAATCCTAAAAGGAACGGAGACAAACGGGGAGTTGTCGATGACAAAATGTATCAATCAATTCGTATCACGATTGTGAAACATATATCAATCGAATTTCATTGTTGGAATAAATTATAGTCTATAACGTGAAACAATGTATAAATTTTTGAGAAATTGTAATCGAGAAAAATTTTATTATTATAAAAATCGATAATTTAGGGATTCAAAAGTTATACTAATACTCTAGAACTTGAAAATGACAAGATATGTGAATCAATCCATTCAAGGATTTCACAATCTGGGAATAGTTTAATGAGTTTAATCGATCGAAAACTCAAGGATGCAAATACGCAATAACTTTAGATTAGAAGGCAAAAAAAATGTATCTGTCTTTATATGGGGAATAATAGTGATTATATTAAACAAGAACCTTTTAATTTAATGAACATTTTTAAATATATCATGCGAAAAAAAGGAATAATTTTAAAATAAAGTTATAAACATTACTTGTGTAAGATTAATAACATATTTAATGCGATATGATATAATATTTAATAATTTGTTTTTGTATTGGACTATAATAACACGGCGAACATAGCATGTAATAACACGAGAGAAATATACTTATATAGCATAGAGAAAGATAGTTTTGGAGCGAAATAAAGGAAGATTTAAACAGGGCAGAACTTAGTGCCACATGTATAGTAACACACTGAGTAAGAAGACTCGAGGAATTTTAGCCGACGTTCTCCGTACGCGACGTTATGGTTTTATGGTAAACGAGCGGAATACCTTGAACGTAAGGTCCTAGTCGAGGATGTTCTCGAACTCGAAGACCGCTCGTGCTCGTCGACGGCTTCAGGAGATCCCTTACCCTCTCGTTATATATCTCCAGATAACTGAAACAGATCCATTACATACAATTTTAACAAAGCTCCCATAAATTACCGTAATTGTAGATGTTTGATCATTCATCCCTCATGGCTTTTTTTATATCTTCTTTATATTATTTATATAAATATTTTTTTTTATAATAAATATAAAATATATGGCATAAAAAATTATAAAAATGCGTCAGATTTCTACCTTGAAATCTGATACAAATTATAGATTGTCTAAAGTGCTTTACAAATAAAAATTATTAACATAAAATGCAACAAACTGCAGTAGTGGATTACCATTGTGACAAAAGGAGCATAGCACTATCTAAACTACTATCTTGTTATTATAATCACCAAATTGACACTACTTTTTTCTTAACACAACCAAATCTCAACCGAAATATCAGTTACATTACCGTGAACAATTCACCGGCTTATTACGTATTTGTCAATGCCCGGGCAAAAAGGAATTCTGTACGAATTGACGATGACGTTATCTGCGAGAATCGCGATGCATCGGTTCTTGTGGATGCATTTCGTAATGCGCTTCGAAGTGTCGCCGGCGCGTCGGCGCGGCGTCGCGACGCGAAGCGACATGACGCACGCGAGAACGTGATATGTCTCACGGCGACGAAGACGAAGACGAACGTGAAAGGCTCTCGCACACACGACACGTGAGTGCGGAAGCTCCTGGATCCTCTTAACGTCATTATCCGTCCCGTTGCGCCCGCAGAACTCTCACACGTGCGCTCGTAAATCGGCTTAACAGCGATCGCGGCCTCATACGGTCACGTTTTCACCAGGTAAAACACTTTCTCGTTGTTTCCCGAGACCTGTCTGTTTTTCTCTTTCTTTCTCTCCTGCTCATTTCTCTCCTCACAGTCTCCTTCTTTCTCTCTTGTTTGTATTTGATACGATGCAATCCACGAATTTACGCTACACAAGTCTTCGACAATTTCGATCACCCATGAACGATCTGTGTGAGAGATAACAACGTCCTAAATTTTCTTTAGTGGACAATATAGACGAAGAACTCATAACAGATAACAGAGTAATGTTGGACATGTGCTACTTTGCGGAATAGCGATGCTGAAATAAATTATTAAATAAATTGTAACGTTTCCATTGCTTTGTATTATTTTCCGCCGATTTAAAACTAAAACTTCCTATTTTTTTCTGTTTTACGGCGTATACTTATCTCTCGCTCCGCTTTTCTGAGTGATAATTTAATTCAATCCTTTTTTACTTTTACAATCCCATTATTTTTCTCGTATCTTAATCGTAGGTTGTAGATTTCTGTCTTCTTTTAAGAATACGATAGTCCCTAAAAGAATTGTACGGTTGCCGACTTTTTAAACTGTTTACGACCGACTGCGTAGGTGCAGCCCCTTTTTCTCGAAAAAAGAGTCACGTCGTCCGTTTTCCTTGACCTGAAGATGCGACCGCTTATCGGAACGACGGCCATTACGACGGCGTAAATTACGTTGCAGGGAAAATTTGCAGACAAGCGAAATATACTGTGTTACGATTTCTGGCCTCGTTCGCGAGAAACGAGCAGAACATTCGCGCGAGTTCAAAAAGCAGTTATAACGATGAAATTTACAAGAATCGTTACGCCATCGCACCGGATTGGACGTTCACCAATTGTCGAAGTTCTCGCGAATTTTGCTTCGCGGTAATGACGCGAGAAGGATGTAAAAATCGCAAGGAATATTACGCGAAATGTAGAATGCCGCGTGCATTTTCTTCCTACGTTGCAACGATAAACCGTTTCCATCACGCAATGACGATTTGACTATGCACATTTCGCGATTGCTTCGTGGATGAATTTAAAAAGGCGCGGAAAATGAATTTAGAATTTATTACATGGCATCAAATTATTTAAAACTAATTTAATCCTTGCCTAGAAACTAACTTGTTGTGTTTTAATGAATTTCGTAAGCATAATTCACTTAAAATGCGGAGAAATTGTCTACGAAAGAGAGAGACATCTAACCCTTTTCGCAATCTTGGTAGCAAAATAAGTGTATTGAACGCATTTGCTTAAATGTAAGATTTTCTGCATTGCGTTATATTAATTAATTAAAAATAAGTTAATAATAACTAGATAATATAATGAGTTTCAATAATATAATGAGTATCTTACACAATTATTATGTATTATTATATGATTAATGTAGAGTTGAATTATTGTACGACTAATGTAGAGCACTCTTGGTGGTTATGTATGTTTATTTTCGTATGATATATAACTTTCTCTCTCTCGCGAGTCTCTCCAAACTTGCTGTTATCTCCTCATTGAGGACACTGGATCTCTCAGGGGAAAATCGATGCGGTGCAGGCTCCTTCGAGAATATCTGAGGACCGTACAACATCGTAGTAAAGTTCGATATCCGATAGTTAATGAAAATTAATGTCCCATATTGAATTATCGCTAATCGATGACGTCCAATCTCGTTGAACATTCAGAACAACCATGTCGTTGCTTAGTTTACTTTAACAGGACGATCTACCTCCATGCCCATTACTTCTCATTGACATTGATCGAGCGTAAAATATATTTTTGTGTTTAAGTAAACACACACACACACATTTGTGTCTATGTGCATAATAATTGTCCTGCAACCAGTAGTTTGTCTCGCATCATAAAATATGACGCATTATTTTACCTGTACGCATGCGATATTATACCAAATGTTGAAATATGTATCCCGATTCAGCCGTTATAAATGATTCCAGTTCATCGACAATATTCCTCGATACATAGCTCGCCAAACTCATCGGAACAGTTCGCGTGCGGATTTCATCCCTCATCGACAAGACGCGCGACTGTCGGCAGAAACTTCGGCGAAAGGGGTCGGCGCGCGCGTTAATTACTGTTAATTAATGATATCCGGGCGCGCCGGGCCCCGGCGGACGAGGGGCGCCGAGAGCCATTTATTACGAGCCTTAAACTTTTCGAGTATCCTCCGTCTCCCCCTGCCGCCTGAGCACTGAAAATGAGACGAGGGGCAGCTAGTTTTCGCGCGTAAACGAAAGCCGGCGCTGTGCCGTGTAACGCGGCCGATTCTCTCGTGCCTGACGAATATTACGCTATTGGAATAAGAATCGATCCTGCAAGCCCCAATGCCTGGAAAACGGGTAATGTCGATCGCGAGAAAAGGAATCGTATTAAACGATCTGCTTGTCGCGCGATGCAATCCTTGCTTTTTACTTTTTGATTCTAGCGTTATTAAGAGAAAAATACTAGGCGTGTTCACCTATTACCTGTGTGCAATAGAATTTCTTTATTATAAAAAGTAAAGTAATTAAAATAATATTTCTTAACAATTTTCTAGCTTTTTTAATGACAAGCTTCTTAAAAATTTATAGAAAATTTGGCAATTATTTGGCAAATTTGGCATTTATTTTTTAATATATAATCCAGATTGAGAACCTGTTTAATAAATTAATATTATACTTGCCAAAAATGTATGGACAAAATATGTAAAAAACTAAGTTCTCTAATAAGAGAAACAAGATAATCATTTCTTAACGAACAAAAAAAAGATATTTTTGGGAGCAACAATCTAGCTTTAAAAATACGATTTACGCATCGCTTCGTCGGTGAGCAAACGAAGAGAAAGGCAAGGGAAGACAAAGAGACAAAGGGCTTCCGGCTTCGAGCGGTGAGAATGATAAAGGTGCAAGTTATAAGCTTCAACGAGCAGTATGCTCGCGATAAAGACACTTCCGATCACCCTCGATAGCCCTATGTGGAAAAGGCTGCAAAGGGATCTCTCGGGGTTAACTGACCTGGGTCAACGTTTCCTGTATGCTCTATTTGCGTTCGTATTAGTCGTATAAAGTGGCACGCCGAATTTGGGCACAACATAATTTTGATAGAAAACTTTTTAGAAAAATAGCCAAATTTTTAATTTAGTTTCGTTAGATGAAAAGTGAAGGTAAACCGAGAGAGTGTATAATCAGCGTTGAGTTTTTAATTATTTATCTAATTAAAATTAATGCATTTTAGTAATATCTATTTTTGTGAAAAACACGTTTAGGTATTTTTATGGCTCTTCATGATTTATTTCTAGCGTTTAAATCAGAAAAAAGTATGAAAAGAGTCATGTCCAACATATAAAAGAGCAAATAATAATATAAACAGGTTGCTACTTTGAAGATGTAACGAGCCAATTGAAATAAATCAGAATAGTATATGGCGAGTCACGTAATGCCTTATACAATGTGAATCCGTTTAATTATTTCTTTTATAGGTATAGCTCGCGGACACAGAAAATAACTCTGTTCATGCATTTACAATGCAAATGCGAGAAATTTCGCATGTTATCAATAACATAGCAGTAATCGAGGAATAAACGCAAATATCACGCGGCTTTGCGTTACGATCGTTTGTAATGAAATACTTTTAACATACAATATTCGCGGGGCATAATTATATTCGATTGTTACATTCAGCTGGTATCGCTGGAAGCAGTCAAAACTCGTGCATATTAATCTTTCATTCTTTTATATTATTCTTTTATGTTACATTGCACCTTTTTTAGATTATATAACCCAGTAACAGGCAAAATATCTGCAGATAATATTGATTTATAAAATTAGCTGATTTTTTTTTTATATGGGGACAATATAGGTAATTAACGTTGATACGATCGGTCCTAATTATTCGACAAACCAATGTACGTAATGCCTGAGTTATCCTCGCGGGACCAAAACAATCCGTCGAGTGCACCATCGATCAACAATTATCGTCATTAGGCATTGGCGTTTAATGCGACTAAAGTCGCATTCCATGTGATAGCATGCTGGTCGGCTCTTTCCGCCCGCAATGAAACGGTAAGCCATCAAAAGCTCTGCATTACTTATGGCTGATTGATCGATAGAGTTCACCCTCTGTGTGCCTTCGGTCTTTCTTCGGCCCTCTTTCACTCAACGGAGCTTTAATTTGACCCCGAGCGCGTTTTCGATTACCGCCCTGGTCATTACGCGATCGCGACTGAATCGCAAATTCA